TCTCTGCAGTTTGGCAGGGTTATACAGCAATAACCACCTGGTTTTCTCACTAAAAGCACCTGACAGGTGATTACTGACCCAAAGCTGTTAATGTTTTACTATGGCCCAAACTCTGACTTGCCTGTTTGCATAAATTTTTCTCATGTAAACCCTGTGTTCTGATAAAAGCTGTGGAAGACCAACACCTAAAGAGCCCAACAAGAAATCTGGAGAGGGGCTTTTGACAAGGGCCTGTGGTGACAGGACAAGGGGGAATGGCTTTAACATGACAGAGGGGAGATTGAGATACCAGGAAGAAGTCCTTCCCTGTGAGGGTGGTGAGGCCCTGGTACAGGTTGCCCAGAGAAGCTGTGGCTGCCCCATCCCTGTCAGTGCTCAAGGCCAGGTTGGACAGGGCTTGGAGCAACCTGGTCTAGTGGAAGGTGTCCCTGCCCATGGCAGGAGGGGTTGGAACTGGGTGAGCTTTAAGGTCCCTTCCAACCCAAACCATTCCTTGATTTTATTGTTTTACAATGTTCTCATTCTCAGAGAACATGTTATGCTTTTATTGCAGTTGAAAGTACAGGAAAGTTATGACCATATTTTTCACAAGCAAGGTGTCAGATTTAGCTTCCTCATTTACACTTACTTGTGTTCGTTTCTGAGAGAAATCCTCAGCTACCCTTTGGTACCAGATGGAAATACGGGAGCCCACCACCTTTGAAATTAATTTAAGACAAACTTGAAGCACCTTATATTTAAGAAGGGAGCTGGACATATGAGTGCAAGGAGTGCTGCCAGGTCACCCTGCTGTCATTGTGGCACAAATTCTCTTGCTGCAGCATCCTGCCTTGACCTCCCTGCACCTTTCCTGCTCCCCTGCCCTAAGTGGAGCACTCTCTAGGAAGGAGCTTCTCTTGGTCATGTCTCTGTTCTATCAAAAAGATAATGGTGTGTATCTCCCTCTGTGTTGTTGCCTTGGTACTTGACTTAGGGCTAAGCAGAGGGACATGGGTGTCACTCGAACTTACTAGACTCCCCTTTGTGGCACTGATTTCTCCTCAGCCAGCCCTCTCAAGGCATGACTGGGCTTGACCCTGTCTCTTCTATGAGACTTGACAGCCTGTTTGGCTTCACAGGCCACTGCTGGGGATGAGCTCTGCTGCATGACATTGTGGTGCCCCAAGGGCTGTGGCTGAGGTGATCCAGGCAGGAGACCTGGATCATGAGGAGATATGCCTGATGGAAGCATGCTAATGAATGACCTAATTCTGGCCAACCTGCCATGATTTCTGCAGCTCCTGCTGTTAAAACAACAGACTCCAGCCAGGCAGAAATCTCCCAAATGTTGATTTTACTTATGAACCACCTGAATTTCTTTCCCTGTCCTCTTCCTGGAGTTTTACTTCTTGACAAGAAGCTTTTGGAACATGGAGAAAAGCAATTAGTGATGGACTTGGGGGGTTTGACTGGCATAGTAATTACTCTGGAAAATGTAATTTCCCCTGCATATTAGAGATGGGATTATTTCAATCAGATCTCGTTAATATGCTGTTCACCAGCAAAGAGCCCAACAAACTGTCTCTTAATAAGATTAGTGTGTTGTGGGGTCATGATGCAGAAGGCTGCTAGGTGACATATTCAAGTTCTTGTTCTAAAGAAATAAATTATCTTCTGCTGTTTGGTAATGGCATACAGGAGTAGATTTCATTTTAAAAAGATGGAGACCTGACATTTATCTATTTCCTGACAGCTAGCAGATAACCTGTGCCCATCTTCTTTTGTCCAGACGCTGTACATCAGCAGCAAAACCCTAGGATTAGGAAGGGAGCCTGGAGCAGTGGTTGGAGCAGCTGAGGACAGACAGGCAGGTAGCATCCCTGTCATCTCTTGTTAGATCATCAGTGTCTTATCTCCTCTATGACTGTAAGTATGACCTTCTGATGTCTGCTTCTCTTTGTTTATCTATAACATGTGGATAATAATCGTCCAGATTTCATCTAAGATTAATGGCTGTTTCGGCAGTGCTCCAGCTCCTTTGGAGCAAGCTCTGACCCCCTCATCAGGGGCTGTCGTCATGTATGACCTGTTGTGCTCTGCGGGAGTGAAATTGTAATACAGAGGAATAGAAAGAGATGCTGTTGGTTTGGTTGTAGTTTGATCAACTGTGAAAATTCAGGCCTTTCTGGGACACCATGTACACAGATGCCTTTTATGGTTGTGCAAGACTTCCTTCACTCCTTGCTGATGCCTGTGGGGTGTTTTGGGGGAAGCCAGAGACTGACACTACTTAAAATGTTTCCAGGCAGCTGTCCCCTTCCTGACTCTGCTCACATCTGTCTGCCATCTGTTTCGATTTTGCCTCTGCTGTGCTGCATGTAAAAATCCTCTTGAAACATCCGGGGCACAGAAAGCTTGGGGTGTGAGGGGCCATCTGCTGTTGCTGCATAAAATGTGAGAGGCTCTGATCAGTGTCCGGGAGGAAAACCAGTTGGTACTTATTATTGGCTCTGCTGGTGCAGAGGAATCTCAGTTACGGGTCAGGAATCCTTGTCGTTGAGCTAAATATGCAAACAACAACAAGAACAGGATCCAGTCTGGTAGTGTCCTGTGCTAATCCTTCCATACCCCCTCCAACCCCTCTGCCACTGTCTAGGAATATTTTAAAAGTTAAAACCACAAGTCAACCCTACCCCGAAAAGGAAGATGTGCCAGATGGTAGAGTCTTGAATGTCACTATTGATTTTTACCTGAAAGGCACTGGCATATTGTAATGGAGTGCAGTGGTGTAAAAACCCCCAATACTTTACCAAGAGAATTCAGTCCTCTCTCATACAAGCAGTGTGTTTAACTGCTTTAGCATTAAAATAAGTAAAGAAAGCATTGCTTAGCCTCTTGGTTTCTTGATGTCTCATTCACCTTTTGGAAAACATGCAGAAAGAGGAGTAGGGAAAGCCACTTCACGTTTATGTAAGTTGAAAATCTTTTCCACACAGTGATATTAAGCTGCAGTTAGAAAGTGTATTTTGTTGCAATTTACTGATGAACTAGATAGATAGTGCCAAGTTGTAATGTTATGTTTAGTATTCTTATACGTCCATAGGTAGAAGTGGTGCAGTAAATTGCAGTGTCATGACACTTCTGCTGTGCATACTAGTAATATACTGAGCTATTTGTGCAAGATATTGTGTGTTAAATGTTATCAATGTATGGTTTGAGCCAGGGGAAGGGTGGCATGCCTGAGAACATTGCTTTGGTGGACTTAATGAAAACTTAGAGCACAAGACTTTCCCTATGCCCAATAAATGCTTTTTGAAGGATATATTATATGACTTAAATATCTTACAGTCTGAACAGATAAGAACATTAAAGACAGTGCAAAATAGCTCTGAGGTGAGCAGAGGAGAGCTTGCAGTCATCTTGTCAGTGCCACAGTTATATTTCTTGGGCAAAGGAGAGTAATGGTTTCTCTTTTTCCCCAAAATACCTTTCTTAAAGGCCACAATGAGTTATCAGTGGAAAGTGAAGCAGTTGTGTAGCTGAAAAATATCTTTTTTTCTTTTCTTTTTTTTTCTTTATACACTGCTTATAGTGCTGCTACATCTCAGTTGAGTTGCAAATATGATTTTCATACTTCCAAAAAGGGAAATCATGGAAAAACACTTTTGCCCTCAGAATGTTTGATTACCTTCTTTACCTTCTTTTATCTAGTTCCAGGTGTAGTAGAATCCTAGTTATGCTGTTGTAGCTGTTCATCCTCTCTTTGTTAAAACAGCACTAAATATTGAAGACCAATGGTTCCTTGGTGAGCATGGAAGCAATTGATAGCTAGTATAGTGTCTCACCACCCCAAAACCTCAATTCCAGATTTCAGAGGTTCTCAGTTTCTTCTCCCTAATGTGTTACTGTTATGTGTGATTTTAAAAAAGGCACTCTTGACAAAGAGTAAGTATTGCCAACAAGTAAGTAATGCAATTGCATTTTCAGCGTACATAAACCAGGTCAGAATCTGTGTCAGAAGAGATAGGGCTCCATTTTAGTAAGTAAAATATCCACTGAACATGTTTCTTTAGCCTGAAAGCTGTAAACATTACTTCATCATCTGCTTAAAGACCAGGGATGTTATTTATGGCTTAACCTATGATTTCAATGCTAAGGCAAATTAACTCTGTTGCTCTTTGTTAGGCAATGCTTCCTTAGAGTAAAGTCAGTGTAAAGTCTCCACTGGATTGCAATTGTAAGAAGTCAGTAAGGAGAATGGCATGACTTAGGTGAGTTGCTACATGTGAGTATTTGAAAGACTATTAGATCATCCTTGTTGGCATCTCCAGAACTCAATGTTGGGAATTTCATCTGGTGCTGCTGCACTGGACTCGTAACTTGTACTCAGCCAAAGCATATCAACACAGCAAGATCTCTGTTCAAATTAATTCTAGGCTAGTTGAAATCAGAAGCTGCTACATGAGGGTGGCTGGTTATTAATACAGGATGGGAGGTGGTGAAGTGTCTCGTAAGACAAGTTATATACCAAAATGCCTACCTGCCTTCTACTCTCAGAGTCCCGTGTGTTAAACTGGCATTCACACCACCCCAATCCCCTTTGGGTTCAACACTTCCTCTGGGTTTCATGGTATCACTTTTTTGCCTGCCAAGCTCTTTGGACACATTACCTTGTTTTAGCTGTGTAGATCTTGGCAGGGGGTTGGAACTGGATGAGCTTTAAGGTCCCAATCAAAACCATCCTGTGATTCTGTGATCTGAAAGCTGAGCACAGACAAGAAGAGAAATAAATCTCAGTGTGAAAGACCAACAGTTTGGGCTTAGCTGGGCACCCAGGTAGTTTCTTGGAGAGGTTTCCACCAGCCTCTGCCTAGGCGGAGCAGAAGGACCTGCTCAGGTTCTTCCCTCTCTTTAGGCTGCTCAGAAATGGAAAAGGGCAGCTTTACGGCTGTATTTGAAAACACGGTGTGAGAACTGTGTAACACATTATGTTCTCTTGCACTGGGTTTGGAATCCAGAAAAAAATCACAAAGCAGGATACCCTTCTTATGAAGTCACTGTAGCAGTAATTTTGTATATTATTGAGTAATAGCAGCCCTTTTGCAGCTTGCAAGTGAATTTCTTGGTTGCCTTCTGTTTCCCTATCCAAAAACACACAACAGTGCCTCTTTGGGCCTGGTGCATAGCTTGGGCATAGTGTGACATTTTTCACAAAAACACTGATGTTGAAGCGAAGTGAAAGGACATATGCAGAGCGGAGGAGCGAGAGTCTCTTGGGTGTTAGCACCCTGTAACAGATATGAGAGGGAGATGTTCTCAAGTCAGTTTTACTGAGTTCTTAGGAAATTGATTGTAGATGGAGTCACATTTTGAAATCTCATAAGAAAAAAGGCTTCCTAGTCACCTATTCCCAAGAGCAGCATAACTTCGTAGAATTTTAATGAGACTTGTACATAGAGATCGCTTTTGTGTGAGTGAGCTCAAACCTATTTGTTCCTAGAATCTGAGCTTTTAATTTTTTAAATAAAATCACCAAGGTTACAAATGCTTTTGCTGTCAAAGCATTCTTGGGAACATCATCTTAAGACAGCACCTACAAATGGCTCTTACCTTTTCAAGGATAAAAACCTAGAGATTCCAGCTCTTTTTCAGTGTATAGGACAATCTTAAAATGTAACTCCATCACCCCGCTGTGGCCTGTCTGTGTTAAAAACGGGGTTTTCCATCACAGGGAAGAGGTAAGGGTCACCATCAGAGGAGCAGGAAAAAGAGCTTTTTTATCGTGAACTGTATCTCACAAACCTGAGGAGGCTCACAGGAAGGCTGACTGCACATCCTCTGCAGGGGCAGCCACAGAGCTTTCAATTTCCACAATGTGCTGAAGGCATTGAGCCAGAATCAGCACCGGTGGTACAAAGCAATGCAACCACCTGATTTTCAGTGGCACTGCATTCATTTACACCAGTAATTTCACATGTCCTGCTTCCTGTTGAGTGTTTTTTCCCCAATCTGTTGTGATGAATAGCTATCTACCTGAGATGCTGTTGATCTTAAATCATAGGGATGAGGAAAAACGGAATTTCCAAATGCTGGCACACCTTCTGCTGGCGGTTTGATTTAGTTACAGCTATTGCTGAAAGCTTTGCCACCGAGTTCTTGTCTCCATTTCTACTTGAGGGTTGTCACACCACGCACTGCCTTTGTCAAAAGAGCTTGCTTGTTGGCACAGATGTAAGGCAACGCAGGAATGGGATAGTTCTTCACAGGCTTTCTTTTGTTGATTCTTTTGTTGTTCCTTGGTGAAAAGCCTGAAAAGGTCAGCATAAGCCTTGGCTGTCGAAGTGCCCATGAGAAACAAGTGCTTCTGCTGCATCTGAAAGAGAAGAGGAGGCAAAGATGAAGAAATTCTTCATCTTCCCTGCCTTTTGTTCTGAAGGCAACTGCCTGCTGCTGAAATAGGGTGGTGCAAGTGCTGTGCACTGTACGCCTTGCTGGGGTACCTTTCCTGGAGAGATACCTATTAATCATAGAATCATAGAACAGTTTGTGTTGGAAGGGACCTTAAAGCTCATCCAGTTCCAACCCCCTGCCATGGGCAGGGACACCTCCCACTAGACCAGGTTGTTCCAAGTCCCATCCAACCTGACCTTGAACACTGCCAGGGATGGGGCAGCCACAGCTTCTCTGGGCAACCTATGCCTGTGCCTCATCACCCTCACAGAGAGGAACTTCTGCCTAGTGTCTATTCTCAGTCTCCCCTTTGTCAGGTTAAAGCCATTCCCCCTTGTTCTGTCCCTACAGGCCCTTGTCAAAAGCCCCTCTCCACATTTCTTGTCAGCCCCTTTAGGCACTGGAAGCTGCTCTGAGGTCTCTCCAGAGCCTTCTCTTCTCCAGGCTGAGGAAGCCAGCTCTCTCAGCCTGTCTCCAGAGCAGAGCTGCTCCAGCCCTCGGAGCATCTTCATGCATTAAAGCAGGCTGTCAATAACAGTTTAAGGTTCTGGGGGTGTGAAGCTGAGATTGTGCCAGCTATGCCATTTGCAGGGGAGCTTTTGGATACCGTCCCAGGGAATGTTTCCTGTTTTACTACTCTGTACCTGCATGCTCGTACACAACTCTCACATTTTTTTGCACTTTGGTGAGCTTGATAGTAACCAGTGCTTTGCCTTGGGTGAGGTGACTTTGCTCTTTGCTAGCTGATTTGATGAAACACTGGAAATGAAACTTCTGGGCTTTATGTATCTTTCAGATCTAATCCTGACTGTAGATGAACAAATTAAGAATAGAGATTTGGATTCAGTTACGGGCATTTGTTCCAATCCTTAACCTTTCTGAGATCGTGTAAAATTTTCCTGGGGAAAGGTTGAAAGCCTCTCTTTGCAGATATCTGAAAATTAGATTGGATAAGGCAGTAGCAAGTATCCTATAGGGAATACTTCTGCACTGGAAAGTGGTGTAGAGGACTCAGATTCAGAGATGAAAAAAGATCCTTTACAGTACAGAGCAAAAATAATTTTGCAGCTGAGGTGCTAAGAATCACATGCACTTTTATTTCTCTTGAGCCTTTGAAGCAACAGCCTGTCAGTGCTTGAGTTCCCCTTAAATTTATGTGATGCACCCATTTCCTTATTATTTTCATAGACAAGACATCCAGCAAGGCGTTCATTTTGAAATGTCCTGCTATTATGAAGGCAGTTGCTGTTCATTGTAAGAGAAGCAATCACGATGAATTAATTTTGCATTCATGTAGATGTTATGAGCATTTTGGATTTGTTTTTTCTAATTTATATCAGTAAACGGACACTTAAAAGCATTATCTCTATGCCCATTGCTCTGCCAAGGGAGCAAGGGAAAATCGTGCCTGTAGATTTAGCCTTGCATAATTCCCAGTTTAGTTGGGAATTTCCTCCTGGCTAGAAATTAGCATCCAGCCCTTCAGGATTGATTGACTGTTTCTTGTGACAGCATGGACCTTAATCAATGTGTTGCATACACAACAGGCCCATCTGTTCATGCTGTAGGCGTTCCGCTGTCATTTAGCGGCTGGCTCAATTTAATGAACCACTTACTGTATCAGATACCTGCTTTGAGGCTGGGGGGATTTTTTTGAGCTGGAAGGGAAGGAGCTCTCAGCATTTATCAGAGGAACCATCCATTTTCTTTTTTTGCAGAGCGCTTTGGGTACTTCCCCTCACATAAGCGCAATTTAGCTGCAAAAGCTTGGCCTTGCCATGATAAGTCTGTTTTCAGGGGATAAACTCTGTAGTTCAGTGATGCAGAATTTGCTCAGTGAACTGGGAGCGAGAAATAATTTGGTGGCAGAGGCTTAGAGTTCAAACAGGACAGAACTTTCAGGTTCTGATGTGAACAGTGAAGTATGTGGGGAGGGTACAGAAGGGGAGAAGTGCAGGGGCACCAGAGGGCTTGTGCAGATCCAGGTACAGAGTGAAGAGTGCTGGGGAAAGGCATTTAGATCAAAGGATCATAGAATGGTTTGGGTTGGAAGGGACCTTAGAGCTCATCTAGTCCCAAACCGTGCCATGGGCAGGGTCACCTTCCACTAGACCAGGTTGCCCAAGTCCCATTCAACCTGGCCTTTGAACACTGCCAGCGATGGGGCAGCCACAGCTTCTCTGGGCAACCTCTGCCAGGGCCTCACCACCCTCACAGGGAAGAGCTTCTTTCTAATATCTCATCTCAATCTCCCTTCTGTCAGGTTAAAGCCATTCCCCCTTGTCCTGTCACTACAGGCCCTTGTCAAAAGCCCCTCTCCAGATTTCTTGTAGATGTCTGTGCAGCTCTCCAATTTGACCCAAGCTCCACTGGGTCTGCCACACCACCAAACAAAAACATGCAAATTTTTATATACCATGCATTCACAGTGTTTCTTTATGCTTTCCAAGTCTTTTGAAGACCTGAGTGCTCCTGATGATTCTGGAAACCCACCAGAGCTATTTTGTGTATCACTGGTAGGGTGCTCACATCTCCTAACACTCTTGTGAGCCAGCAGAGAAAACAGTAGCACTGAAGAACTATGTGATCAGCTGAGGGTCATTGATGAGGTAAGCCACAGGAAGAACTGGAATGTGGAAGTCCCAGTTCCCAGATTTCTAAGCACTCTTCAGTCTCCTCTGTTCTTTCCCAATGTCTCCATAGGCAAGTCTGAAAGCAGGAGTCGTTGGTGCGATTTTACCATAGCAGATCCAGCTGGTCCCAAAATATCTGTGATTTCACACCATAAGTATAAAGTTCACATCTATGTCATGATTACTGAGTCACTAAATCAAGCATACAGGTCTCACACTGGTGGACTTCATTTTCAAAGGCTGGAAGAGGGAAAGGCTGGAAAACCAAAGAAGTTAGGGAAAGTTGAGTTGAGACCCATAGGCTTTTTGATAATACAGTCACGATTTCATCATGAACAAAACAATGTGTTTCACTTGACCACTCTATTTAATAAGGATTCGCTTTCACTGGATTCTATCATTTCTGAAGTAATGAAATTCCTGCATCATCTTGAAAGAGATAATTTGACCCCTGTGTTTATATGCATGTACATGACAGCAATTTCTAGGGGGCACCCAGTAGGTACATTGATGCTTACGTTTTTGATGCAGGAGAAAGGTTTCTCCTCAGGTTTATTGGTTCAGACAGCTAGCTGAGAATCATGGTTTTGAAACAGCTATTCTGCCCCTACCGTGTTCAACTCTCTTATTCCACACTGGGAAGGCTGTCGTGTGGTTTAGGCATAATCAATTCAGATGCTAACCTGCAAAGAGGAATCCTTAATGCGAAAGGGGAGTGTGCAGATAGAGAGTGAAAACAAAATAGCAGTTGAGCCTCAGGTACAGAGTTAGTTATTTTTTAAATAGTTTTGAAATACTCCCTCATGGGTAAGGTCTTAGGGGTACTGCTATCCTTTATTGCCCTTTTTACATGGAAACGCATAATGGTTAATATCTGCTGCTTCATGTCTATGTTGGAAGAGGTTGGGGGGGCAGCTGCCATGGCCACTTGTTTATGTGGTCTTAACATATTCAGCCAAATCAATTCCTTGTGCAAAGACTTCCATGCATCATTCATAGCTGAATCTGAGACTTGTGATTTTGGGGGACTTTTCTCTTTGGTTTAGTAGAAGTGAAGAGAATAGATTTAGTCCGGTCCTCTCAGTATGAACCCCACCCCATGCCTTCCCCCTTATAATAGTGTTGTGTAAAACGTTAGAGTTGTGGAGCTTGATCATACAAGCTGCTGTAGCTTTCAGCCCTGGCTCATTTTTGAGCCATTTCTGAAAAATGCTAAATACTTCCCGCACCGGAGGTCTAGTGTCATTCTCATCCCATATTTCAGATAATCACTTCAAATGAAGGTCAGGTAAATTGTACCTTCAGACTAAGATCATATAAACCTTGGTGATTCTTTTCATGAATAGTTTTTGGTTTTTTGTTTTTTGTTTAAATGTCCAAGAATTGACTCCAAATTAGATTTAGGAACAGAGGAAAGCAGCACAATTGTATATGTATATGAAGTTAGAATGGAAAGCAGTTTGTTGTGAAAAGATCCTTTTGAATTTTCCACCTCCCGGACAGTCACATAGCAGTCATGCACATTGAACCTTGGGAGCTTCCTGTGAAGAAGAGTGTGATGCAGGTGCTCTTTGGTGATGATTTACTTGTGGGCTTGAACTCCTTTTTTTTGCAGTGCTACTCTGCAATGAAAACAAAAAAGAATACAATATACAAGCCAGTGTTTACCCCTTTGCCTCTTAATTTGTTCTTTGGTGTCAGCACTTACAGACATGGCGTTCAAGTGCCAATTGGAAACTCTTCTGGAGTTTAAAGATGGGAAATTACATTCTCTCTTAAGACAAGACCAGTCCTATGTGGATGAAGGACAATTTCTTCAGCACAGTGACAGCAGTGTGAGCATCAGTGCTGCTTCTGCCAGGAACCATGTGTTGCCTTACAGTCAAAACTGTTAACAGTGTTCAAGCCTTAAAACTACCTCTGTGACCTAATGCACCAGGCTGTGAGGTCTGTTTAGAGGAACGCTGATGGTAGTTCGTTCACTCTGTCCCCAGGCCACCAAGGTGGTGGGTTGTAGCATGTTTGTCCAGTTGCAATCAGAATTAGATTGTGCATGGAATGAAAAACAAGAACTGAGATTTGGTGTTGGATCATAGGCCTCCTGTATTCACTTTACAGGTCTCTTGTTTTCATTCCCACTCTGTCTGTGTTTAGATGAGCCAAACCAGAGTAAGAAGACTGCACGGTAAGAGACCTGGGGACTTGACACTTGGGATGGTTTGATTGACAGTCCCAAAAGAGGAGCAGCAGCATGGGAATTCTGAGCTGTCTATCCCTGGCTCTTCCAATGTGTGTGTAGTAGTAAAAAATATTCCTGGGCCTTGCCATGTTTTTCATTATGTGTGATCCCTGGGTGGCATCCCTGTCTTGAATGCGAGCCAATGTAATTCTTATCTAATAGATAATCACAGAGCTCATCCTCAGCCACTGAGAGAGAGTTGAAGAGCTAATTATGGAGACAATCCACTGTTCAGCGTCAGAAAGTAATACTTACTGAGGAGTGCAGCAACATGTTTGGGTTTGTTTTTTTTTTTTCTGGGACTTTTGCCTGTTCTTTTCAATCTTTGTGGCAATTAATTTGGAAAAATCTTAACTAAGGATAGATATTTAAACTGTGGTGAACATGACTGTTGGAGAATCTCAGCCTTAACATTTCTCTTAGCCCAGAGGGTGATTCCCACTTCTGACATTAAAAAGTTCTAAAAAGCAGAATTTTTCGGCCCCAGGTCTAAATTAATGGAGTAGCTTAAGTAAGCACGAAAGTTTAAAACCAAGAGGGAAATATCACATGGCTCCCTAGAGAGAAAGTAAAAACAGTCAAAAACCAGCTTGAGCTAGACTCAAAGCAAAAGGAAGCAAGGCAAATAGAAAAGAGATCTTGCAATCAAATAATGACAAAGTGAGGAAGCAGTGAATGGGTGTGTGGATATGTTCTATACAATAAGGATGGGTTACAGCTAAATGCAATGTAGGTGAAGCTCCAAAACTAAGAAAATGCTTTGCTTTTCTATTCAGGAAAGATGATTCAGTTGGACCTGAGCAAGCTGATACCTTCCCAGCCTTGCTGAGTACTTGGGGTGAACAAAAGGAAAGTGACTAGTAGCTGTGAGGTAGGAAGGAGAGGCAAACCATACTCAAGGTGAATGCAAAACTGAGAGCTTAGTGGACATGGCTGAGGGGATGGTTATATCTTTCCCAGAATTCTACTACAATTTGTACGTCAAGTCCTAGTGTGGAAATAAGGAACTTTTTAATTTTCATTTATTTATTTATTTAAAATTAATCTGTGAAGTCTGAATTTGCACCACTTGACTGAAGAAGAGGAAATCTCGGGGACAGGCATATGTGCTAATCTAACCTCAGTAATTATGCAGGACTATAGACCAATTTGGGAAGCAGAGAATGAAGATGAATAAATGCAAAGCAGGAAAAAGATGAACATGGGGTTTTCAGAGATTGTGCCAAATGTATACGATACCTTTAAATAATGAAATAATTGACCTCTTTGGCAAAGAAACGCAAGAAACAAATTTTTGATGCCATGATTCACAGGGAGTTAGGTAAACTGGAGAGGACAGGGATTAGAAAGTACTTGGATAACAGGGAGATGGCAGAATGTGATAGTGGAAAGGGAGAAAAGGTTGGAGGGAGGTTACTGAGACTTTATCAAGAGCAGTCTTGAGAGCAATCTTGCTTAATATATTTATTAGTGACTGGCTCAGAAAGTGGAGAGAGTTAATGAAATAGCTTTCTGGTACTGACACAAAGTTGTGAGACACATCAATAGGAGGAAGATCAGATACTGTGCAAGAAGAATTGGATGACTTTGAAGATTAAGCAGTAAAAATGTTATAAAATGGAATGGTACCAAGTACAAGGTTATTCACCTAAGGATTAAATGTAATCCGCTTTGCTGTAAACTCAGCTCATAACTTAAAGGAGCGAGGCAGAGAGCGATGCTAGTGGCTTGGTCCAGATAAGACTTGCTGCATTTGCTTTGTCTACAAATTCAGGACTGGGCTAACCTTGTGCAATAGCTTTTTGAAACCATGCAGCATGAGGTGCCAATGTGATGCCACTAGGGAAAAGGCAAGTTCAATCCCATCTGTACAGTCAATAGAGAGGGGCATCAAAACTGTTGTGTATTTGTAATCAAGAATGCAGTTCTGGCCAGTCATGTTCAAGAAAGATGAAGTTAGAAATATGTTCAGCGATGGTTTGCTTTAAAGAAAAGTTAATACAAAGGGAGAAGAAGATTTGTGTTGCATAGTAAAGCAATGGCAAAGAGGCAATATGACTGCAGTCTGTAAAACCAACAGGGGTTTGCCCTCTGTGTTAGAAAGAATAATTTAAGCTAACAGACAGCCTCAGCACAAGAACAGCAGGGCATAGACTGATGATGAACGCAGTTAAGCTAGAAATTAGAAGAAAGATTTTAACAGTGGAAAAAGGCAGGCTCTGAAGCAGACTTGCGCTTACAGAACTTGGAACAGAGCAACCTTGTTCCTGAGAAAAAGCAAAGGCAAAAATGTGACTAGCTCAAGATGGAGGCTAGTCTGGACAGAATGTATAATAAGAAAAGAGTGATTGTGCAGTTCAGGGGAAGCCTTTGCATCTTGGGTTCTGTATTTTATCCCAGGATGAGTGAAGAGTGAGTGAACTTGCCCTGTGCCCCTGAAGATTGCAGTTTTCCGTGTATAAAAGAGGAATAACTCCACATTTGTGCTAAAGAGTGTGATTTGGCTGACAGAGCTGGTCTTGTTCAGCCTGGAGAAGAGAAGGCTCTGGGGAGAACTTAGAGCAGCTTCCAGTGCCTAAAGGACCTGACAAGAAATGTGGAGAAGGGCTTTTGACAAGGGCCTGTAGGGACAGGACAAGGGGGAATGGCTTTAAACTGACAAAGGGGAGATTTAGATGAGCTCTTAGGCAGAAGTTCTTCCCTGTGAGGGTGCTGAGGCACTGGCACAGGTTGCCCAGAGAAGCCATGGCTGCCCCATCCCTGGCAGTGTTCAAGGCCAGGTTGGATGGGGCTTGAAGCAACCTGGTCTAGTGGAAGGTGTCCCTGCCCATGGCAAGGTTTGGAACTGGATGAGCTTTAAGATCCCTTCCAACTGAAATGGTTCTGTGGTTCCACGATTTGACCATACTTGGTGTTACACTGTGAGAGCTTGCAGGGAGAGGAAGCCATTTGGCTGGGGAGATGCTGGGTGAAGAAGACAGGTATCTACCTGGCAGCAATGAAACAACTGGATTTCCAGCAGTCTAATGAGAGAGAGACTTTGTGGAAGCACATAAATGGATGATAAATCACAACTTGGTTCTCTCTAGCAGTTCGTGGTGTGTTGCTGGGGAGGGATGGCTAGGAGTGCTAGACACTTCACTGTCCTAATTGTATGGATTTTTTAATCTTCCTTGTCCCTCCTACTGTAGTTTTCCATCTGTCTAGTTTTCAGGTCATATTATTATCATGAATCTTCACAGCTCCCCTTTTGCTAATGGGTATATTTATAATTGCTATAATACAATTTATGGGTGTTCAGTTTTATAAAAGGAAGCACCTGAGCATGAGCCAAGGGCAGCCTAAGTACTTTTTTAATCTGAGGAAGTCAGGTGGTAGTTCCTGGGATGATGACCAAATATTTGTGATGTAGCAAACAATTTATTTTCCAGGCAATGCACTTAAAAAAAAAAAAATCACATTTATTCCTGAACAATTTTGAGATAAACATGAACAACCTATAAAAACAATGATCACAAGTCATGGTTCTGTTGCTGGTTTGAGCAAGACCTTGCTGCACTGTCTTGGTCTACCATGAAGTGACTTCTAACTCACTGCAGGCATAGCATCCCCTCATACACTGTCAATTCTCCCATTTTGAGGAACCAAGTAGGCTGACATTTGATTCAGAAGCATAGTTTGGTCATGTCTATGTACTGGAAATCTGTCCTGAATATTGCAGAAACAACAGTATCAGTCAGTCAGTTGGTTGAGTGCCAGTATCTTTCCCTCAAACTGTAGAAGTGGACAAAGACACTGTCTTTGTGTTAATAATTCATTTTTCTGCCAGCTCTGGCACCCTTGATCAGAGGCATTATTCCAAGACGCTGAGTGCAACATTTGGAACAGCACATTCTTGTTCTTGCAAAATATCAAGCTTGAATGCCACAGAATATGGTCTTCTTTCATGAAGCAAAGAAATGACTGCTTGTCAGCATCTTCTTATAGGTCGTTTCTGTCAGGCAGCAAGAATTAATTCAAACTTCTCCTTAATATGCTTCTAGTGCAAATGATTGTGACTGTTCCACTCTCTCCTCTACTTCTGGAGTTTTGTGTAAATCTCTGAAATAGACCAAAGGCTTTCATGCTTGTGCTGGACATTGGCTTGGTTTCAAGGAAGCTGCCCTTACAGGAACATACTGCTATTGTGAGTGGCACAAGATGTTTCACATCATTTAATGTGGCGGCTGTCCTTGTCCTACTGCAGTTCCAGTGCAAATGGCTAAAAATGCTCCTGCACACTGGAGAGTGATGGCTTTCACTGGCTTTGAAATCATGTTTCCTGTAAGGCACTGTCAATATGGAAATAATACAGGTAGCATAGATATGGCATTTTGTACATTTTGCATTACATTGCATGTAGTGGTTCACAGAACACAGGTAAGAAAGATTAAAGAGGTCATATTTTTAGTGATATTTTGTAAGTACTTTGAAGAGGTGGTAACAAACCTCTGTGCAAAAAGCTCTAGCACCCATAATCAGAAATAATAATAAGCTGCAGCAGTAGCAGCAGCAGCAGCAGTATTAAAACCAGAAATGTAGGCTGTTAATTACTTTTGTCCCCTCTGGTCCCCTTGACCAATGAACACCAGCAACGCAAGTCCAGGGAATCTATTTCGGATTACTTTCTCGCTCCCTTGCAATGTGTCTTCAACAAACTTTTATCCATGCCTTAGCAAGCCCACATAAAGCTTCTTT